TAATTGCTTATACCAAATACTTTTGGTTTAATTGCTCATGGTTAACTTAGACAAAGTGATCTGATCTGATTATGTATGTTTGCTATATCAACTTTTTAACTATAAAATTCACATAAGCCGTTTGCTATAGCTAGTGAGTTTATACGATGTATTATAGAAGTGGTGCAGTGGGGCGGTGAAATTATCAACGCAAACATATCCAGCCGTCACACAAAAACGCAAATGGGATCCGATTTTTACCGGACAGCAGGTTTGGAAAAGCCGCCTATATGCGTGACTTAGGAATCGTGGTGAATAAAAGCGTTTTACAGCCGGTCTATGACCTTCATGTAAGAGCAACTAACCCCGCTTATTACAAGGCCAAGAAGTCGAACAATACTTGTTTCTACTATGGGGGACATGAGCACGGGAGAGCCGTTCGTCGTTGTCGATTAGACCTGGTTCTTCTATATTTTACTTTCGGTCTTTTATTGCTTTTTCAGCTTTTTTATTTGTATCACGACAATGTTTGTTTTGTTACTTGCTAAAGATGTTTAATTTGGACTTTAGAGTGCTTATAATATGTAAAAGTATTTCAATAGTCCTGAAATAGATTCTGCAAGTCGTGGAAGCTTCTCCACTAAATGTAATTAATGGACACATGCACGAACGTCTATATCTGTCGTTGTCAACTCTCGTGAGTTTAATATTTACACACATGTAATTACGATTGGTTTATTGGTTAATGTACATAAATTACCAATGTCATCACATTCTAAGAAACAACCTAAATATATTAGTGCATGCAACTACATCAGCTGGTCTGTTAGATCAAAGTTTACATCGAACGTACCTTCACCATACCAAGATGGAGTATTACAATTCGTACATAATTAAAATATTTTCAAATAATAAAATAACCGATGACAAAAAACATATGTAAAAAAAAATAATTATATCCTTAATAAATAGTTTTTAACAAATCAAATTAGAGACATAAATGCAACATTATCATTGTAGAGTTTTTTCATTTTTGGCAACAACATCGCTTAGGATCTTTAGGAGAGCGAGCAGCGCAATCCCCATCTCGATAGCGAGCTGTTAGACAATCAGTATGTCAAAGGTCATATGAGAATTTTTCCACATCAGCACCTACACAAATCCCATACAAACATATGTGTGTTATAACATATTACATTTGATATACAATAAGTTATATTAACAAAAACTTTAAATGTATATATATACACATACATAAACAAAGGCATGGTCATTACAAATCTTACATGTTTACCTATTGCTTTTTAAAACGATCAATACTAATTTTACAATAACTAAATCAAAATTTAAACATACCCGAAGCCAAAACGTTGTGGTTGGACAATGAAATTGCGAATGTTGCTACGAGAAAAAAAAATCGCTAAAGTTTTTATCATATCCATAGTAGTTTTTTTTTGGTACTAACCTATTGAGATTTTCAGATGTTTTCAATTTTTCGAATCCTAAAGAGAAGCTCTATTTATATAACTTCATGTCTTGTTGTACTATTAATTGAATTTTGAATTTGCAAGAAAAAACTTTTTTTTTTGGCAAAAAAAATCATTAATATTTAATTGAATTTCTTTTTATCATTTAGTGTGGATAATCACAAATCAAACTGAAAATTTTAAAAAAGTCTGGGAAACTTGTCAAAGAAGTATTATTGCATGTATATCATTTATGATCAAGTTAAATGTTAGATTTTCTGCATAATTTATTGTTTGAAATTTTAATTAAGTAGAATAAAGTTTATTTAAAATCGAAACTCTCTGTGACCAAAAAAAAAAAAATCGAAACTCTTTGTGCCATATCAAATGTGTGGTTTTTATTTTGTATTTAATTTGTATCACAAATTGTAACTTTGACTAAACGCAAAACTACAATAAGATTAGTTCTTTATTTGAAAGAAACCATTTCAGTATGAGATTTGACTAAAAGTTTAACCACATAAACTACACATATGTTTATTTAA